AATTGTTCAACTAATAAGATTTAATAAGAAAAAAATTATTAATTTGTTTAGAAAAAATAAAAGAAATTGATTTATCCAATATAAAAAAAAAAATTCGGTTCTTATTCGATTTTTGGTCTAGAACCGAGAACCGAACCAAATCTATTGGTTCTCGATTCAGATACTTGTTCGAGTTTTTAATTTAGGAAAATCGGTTCGGTTCGGTTCGGACATTTTGTCCAGCCCTAAATTGCATGACTTCAAAGGATTGTTATCGGGAACAGATTGATTGTCCGAAATAGATTCTGGAAAAATTAGAAGAAACTATTGTGTGCAAAGAAAAATAAAATCCAGATCTCACTCACAAGTACACATACTATATTATTACTATTCACTACTAAATTCACTTAAGAGGAAAATAAATAGATGACACGAGTACTCTGAATACTAAAAAGGAAAAGAAAGAATTGTTTACACGTGTGGGGGGAGGAGGTAGCACGTGGGAGTTGGAAATTTTCAACCCCTCAAGATTAGCTCGCCTCGCCCTGGGCATCCTCGGTCCAGTCTGAACAGTGAAGCCGGGGATGTTAAAAAGGTCGGCCTGCTCCCGCTGCCTGGTGCTCCTTGTCCTGCTGCTTTTTCCATTTTCAGTGTAAGTTCCCTCCATTCTCTCTGTTTGTTATCTTAAGCTTAGAAGATGGGTTGAGTTGTAGAGAGAGAAGAGAGGAAAGCAGTGGTATATGGTAACTAATGGGGGTGGGCAATGAGGGATGGGTTTGATGGTTTATCGGGGTTAATTCTTCTAATTTTAGCAAGGATACCTGATCCGAAGTGACATTTGTGCAATATTGATTCATGGTAGCAGCTCAAGTTTTGTTTTTTAGCTCAAGAGAAAAAGGGTAAGTTTGTGAGAGTGAGAGATAATCTGAAGCAAAAGCCTAACCAGAGTTAAGAAAAGAAAATGGGATGGTGTTATCTATCGTATTATCTTAAATGCATTGTGGAAGAATCGTCCATTTGCATTGAAGGGCGGTCGAAGGGAAGTGACGAATGGAAATTTAGAGAGAGGTGAGGTGAGGTGGGGTAATAGGAGAAGGTCCAGGTGTTGGAAAAGCTCTGATTTCTAGCAACTGAAATCAATGGCGTTTCTTTGGTTTCTCTCTCATCGTTCACTGTGGGTTGAAAATTTTCATTTCACCCAAGGACGGACGTATGTGAATAAATTTTAAAAAGACTTAAGGAGAACAAATTAAAAAAGCGGTTTTGTGAAACCGCTACGTTGACATGCAAAATACAGGAGCTGGGTGCTTGCCACCTCGAAACGGTGTGCCTTTATCAGTTGGTGTGTGAATTATGAAATGAATTAAAAACGAAAGTATTATTCTACAAAAAGATCCCGGGAAGGAACTTTTGTCACGTGATCAAAATACTTTCTATTATAATAAACAGTCAACTGGTATGGTGCATTTGAGTTATTACTTGTTCATTTTATTCCTTGAACGCAGCGCGAACATAAAAGTTTAAAATTAGGGAGCACAATCGAATTTGTAAAGAAATTTAGAGAGATTTTACAATCGAAAATTGATGTCCAAAAAAATCATACACCATGTAATTTTACATCTGAAAATTTACATGGGATATGACTTTTTCAGATGTAAAATTTCGAAATTTTTTTATGTCATATTCCATATAAAATTTCCTAATAAAATGATGAAAATTATATTGAGAAATTTTTATTGTAAAAATAATAAATGTTAATGAAATAATTGAATTTTTTAAAAGAAAATGTGAGTTAAACATCTTTATTTAAAACTCACGTTTAACGCATTTTTAATTATTTTCGAAATCTGTTTGAATTATTTGATATGCCTATAATGTAGTTATCGAAATAAGATTTGAGATGACAT